TAAAGTTTATCGTTTATGAACATATAAAGTAAACAGTAATAAGAATGAAAAAGTAAGGATTGTGGTTTTCATTTATGGTCGAACAAATTAATAATAATGGTAACAACAGCACAAAAGTCTATCGTTTATGATTGTACAAAATTTGTTTTCGTTTTGTTTCTGGTCATAGAAACCAATATTAATGATGATAAAGAAGGCACAAAACTGGTCGTTAATGATCGTATCAACATCAAAAGGTAATGTTAAAGAAAAGCATGTGTTTAGTTAATGGTCGTGGTCTGGACAATGTATCTAGTCTTCTAGGTATTTCTGTAAGATTAGATTTGTATGTTGTTTTTTGAAGTGCACAAACTTAGCACAAGCTTTGATATGGCTTTGATATCCAACTGCATTCCATACATACAATTGTAAAACTGGGTATATGTTTTAGATGAGGAAACAACATAACAGCATAGCTAAATACTCACAGGAGTCATGTCTGCGCAATATAGGGCCTTTAATAAGCAATTTGTTAAATATGAATTAATTATGAATCGTTAAATGTGATATCTGTGTTGATATGTGTAATAAGAATACTCATGGTAGCTGCAGTTGCCATGTGCTTGTGACCACCAGCTAACATACAACCACACACATACACAAGATGTATAGGGGAAATGTCTTGCTGACAGGATGAAGTGGTGACAGCTGGATTTGAACCGCCAACCTCAAAAGTATAAGATGACTGCTCCACCTCTTGAGTCACTGCCATCCCAATATAGAAAATGAAGTAATGATGACAAGGTGAGACAAAAACAGCTCTAGTCTTACATTGGAAACAGATTTTGAATAACAGAATTTTGCAAGAAATATTATTGTTTCATCGCATGTGTTGGACAGTGTTTGTTGTGTTCTAATTCCTAACTGTCAATGATCATCTTGAGTCTTTTAACAGAGAACTTTACAGCCAATCCTCTGTCAGTAAAAACATGTGTTTGGAGCAGACTTGCATACTTCTGAGGAAGAATTATTACCTATCTTGGGGTCAAATGGCAAAGATGTTCAACATGCATATTTAGGCTACATTCTTCTCTCTAATGGAAAACACTTTATTCCACCTCGTGATGTCATGTGGTAATACAGGAAGCTCCACTGTGTTTTTAAATTCCATATACTTTCACGAGAATCATTTGTATAATTTCATCCCTGGAATTGCCAATCTCTACTGAACAAAACTACCACCTCATGACATCACAAGATGGAACAGAGCATTTTGAGCTTTGGAGACTAATAATAATGATAATAACATGAGTGTATGAAACAATAAGCACAATTCCAGGCAAGTTTTTGAGGAGGTAAAAATATACAGTATGAACATGGCTAAAAACTCACAGGAGTCAATTTTGCATAGTACAATAATATACCTAGACATTAAACAAAATTTTTAAAAAAAATTAATACATACAACGAAAATAAATTGATTCTGATTAATTTTTATATTTTTTCTCATATCACCCAGCCCTATAAACTCATTTATTAACAATAAGACAACAACAAATTACGATCAGCCCAGGACCAATCCAGAACTAGAGCAGGACCAAACCAAATGTAGATCAACGCTAAAGAGTGAATGTATATGCTGTCCTGTAATAGCTTATAATGGTATTTTATCTGTATCAATCATAGAAATAACAGTGATTTTCACGTCATTTTGAGCAGTAGAGACAGCTGTTGAATGTTAAGAGTCCAGCTAGATAGCTTTATCAGTGTATTAGCATCGCCCACTGTGAGTCAGCATGTTAAAATAAGGGGCTTTCTCATTCCCATCTGCCAAAGTCATCAACCACATTCCCTTAATACACAGAGTGGTGTGAAACAGCCATCTTTTCCACTTTCACCTATAAACCCACCTATAAAACTCACTAACGTCGAAAACTTCTGCTACTCCTCCTCCTCGGGCTAAAACAACACAAACACAAACATTAGCAAGCTGCTCGTTAGCCCCGCGCTGAGTAAAACAAGGTGAAAAAGAGCCAAAGCTAGCCGCGAGCTAATGGCTAATGGAATCGCTAGCCTAGGGAATTTGTTGTGTTTTCTGCATTCAACAATATGATGTCATAATCTCAGATAGACAGCAGGGGCTGGTAAACCTTAGCCTTTTTGTACTGGAAATTTCCATAATAAAAGTAGAGCTTAAAGATGCACTATGCAACTTTTTTTGGGTCTTGTCTTGTTTCTGTGGAGATGTTATTGCTTTGCCTGGAATGTTCCACAGTATTGCATTAATCTCTTGCTGCTTCCATCAGGCCAAGTTATTGGGGGTGTAACGGTAAACAAAAATCACAGTTTGGTACGTACCTCAGTTTTGAGATCATGGTTCAGTTCATTTTTGACGCAGTATGGGAACAAAATGTTGGTTGTTTATTTGTGTTTTTATTAAACCAACAATTTGTTTTACCATTATACAAATGGGAAAATTTTATAAATGCAAAGTGCTGCTTGGTAATACAAATAAGTTAAAAAAAATAATAAAATAAGCAACAAATGTATGAAATATTATAAACAATAAATTCCTTGTAAACAGTAAACTAAACTTTTCAAAAAACAGCACTGACAGTTTCAGGATGAAGTCTTACTCAATCTTCATACTTTTGGCCAGAAAAAACAACTTGTCCACATTGTTTGGAGTAAGCACAGATCTGCTGGCAGTTACAGTGTTCCCAGCGGTTGAAAATACTCTTTCACTTGGGACAGAGGTCGCAGGTATGGTGTGGGTGAAGATTCTGTGCCAGCAAAAGTGAGGACCGGGGTGCAACTATCGTAGTTTTGCAAAGATTCTCGTGGTTCAGATGGACGTAATCAAGGCGTGGGGCAATTGTTGTCAAGGTGGCCGCCCTAAATATAAAGTTCCGCGAGCCTTCTGTGTAGCTGCACATGTAGTGGCGGAATGTGAATCACTCGTGCACAGCCCTGCACTGAACCGAACGTCCCGTACCAAAAAGGTTCGGCATGAATACATGTACCGTTACACCCCTACAAGTTATAGGTCAAACGTATATAGTTTAATGCCATACCTAGGAACATTGACACAGTGACCCCTCTACCACAAAAATGACACAATGCACCTTTAAATGTACACTATCCATGGGTTTCAGAATATCAAAAAATATGACTGTTGCTTTATCAATTCAAAACTAAATCTTCTATGTTATGAATTTTGAATACTCCAAATTTCACCTATAACTTGGAAGCTGAAACTCATGTAGACAGTTTAAAATAGTGTGAAGTCATGTGAACCTAACTTATATTGAAAACATATCATATTAAGATGTCAAAGTAACACGCCAGGGACCCAAATCCACAAAATAAAGAAGTAAAAAGAAAGTGATGACTCAGATGGGGCTGTTTTCAGTAGTGGAAGTCCCTAATGAAAAATGAGTTGGTGAAGGATAGACAGGAGTGAGTAATGTGAGCATACCTACAGCTGGGTTACATTTAAGTCGAAATATTTAGCCACACAACACATTACTGCACTGAAGTCATAGTTTTAAATATACTTGAAGTTATGTATGTGCACGGCCAGGGTAAAAAGCATGGAGAATGAATGGAGCAGAATCAAGAAATCGTTAGAATAGGCAGTAAGAGTAATGCCTGTAATGTTGGTTATATTTCATAGTGAGAGGGAAAACAAGAAAAGATGTATTTTTATGGCTATGTCCTTAGATCACCTGCTCTTTAAAAGTAGATAATATTGTACTTTATAGTCTATATACAGATAAGTCCCAGCATAACTCACTATTTTAAATGTGTTTTATTTTATGTTTGAATTAGGATACAAAAGAGGTTCTCATACCACGGCACAGATATCGCCAATTGTGGGGGTGTGAAGAATTAGTTTTCATTCAGAACTACAGGGACCACTTTTTTATGCAGTCTATGGCCTCTTATACATGAGAAGCATCAATCATATCATCAATAATATTTAAAGGGGACATACAAAATCAAATGTTATGAGTGTTTGCATCCATTCTGAACTTTGATTTAGCACCTTAATATTAGCGACCGTAATTTTTGGACTATAAGTTGCACTTTTTTCATGGTTTGGGTGGTCCTGTGACTTATACTCCGGTGTGTATTAAAATTTTTACACTGACAGTTGTGAGAGGGCACTCTAGGCTTGTATGTCAGCATCTGCTACTTGTATTACTCTTGTACCACTGTCACTTGGTTCTACTGCGCATGTCTCCTGCAGAAAGAGCATCTGTCTGTATCATGTCAGTTGTTCACATCATTACTTCTGTACCACTGAAAATTAAAAATTTAAACAAACTTATAAAGACAACTAAAAAGACTGAACACAAATGCACTCAAACAGAAAATCATATTTTGCAGCTTACAAACTGCATGTAGCAAAATCTGCAGCTGAAAACAGGAATCAAGCAGCAGAAAGAAAGTTTGGAGTGAGCGAAAAACTTATGACAACTGGGAGGGTACGCCATGCAACTTTCCTGGAAGTCATTGGATGGATCAACAAAGCCTGGACTTCAGTGACAACAGAAACCATCCTGTCAGGACTTATAGTCCGAAAAATATAGTATTTAATATTTTGTAGCTTGTAGATTGATTCAAGCATGTAAAAATAGCACAAGTACATATAAGGTCCAAAGAGTCATTAAGTCACAGTTATTTTTTGCCAGTAAAAACATGTACATGAAAATCTATTGCTTGTTATGATGAAATGGTGCTATGAAGAGGTGCAGAAGAGAATCACTTCTGCATGTTTTCATATAAAATGGTATGACCACAAAAAAGGTTGACAAGATAAACAGTTTAAGCAATAGCAACAGAGATTGTCCACAACCTTAAGTAACCTTCAAATTAATTGGCCAAAAACATAACCATGACCTAAACCTAACTGCATCAAAGTATGTTGTTGTTTGAAGGACTCAGGACCAGACTAATGACTAAGAGAAGACCAGAAACTAGACTTGGACTTTAAAGCCACAGTCATGAGTGAGTACCTGGGTAGAGAGGCGTACTGTCGCTCCACTTCTTCATATCGCGGGGCCATTCGGGGGTCCCTGGGTCCCATCTGTAACACACAAACACATGGTTTGGTTAAAGTTTGATTGCAAAGACTCTGGGGCAATATAATATTATCAGAGAATGAGTAGATCATTTAGACAGCTCCTGCTACGAATGTCATGCAGATGAAGTTTCCAGATTGAGATGGTTTGCACAGTGTACAGTGAATATATGGTACAGAGGAAAGAGAGTGAATTTATGATACAGAGGAGGGACAGTGAATATATGATACAGAGGAGCAGTAAGATATCAAATATATTAAAGTTAAGGTAAAATTCTGCTCAGAAAAATGGCAATTTCAGATCTATAAAAGTGTGTAGACCCAAAAAGAAGTATTTTTTGTGAAATACCGTAAACCATTTCAAATAGCTTAGCACTGTGGCCAATTAGCAATTAACAACTCCACATAAAAAATGATGTCCTTTGAATAATAAAAAGTAACCAAAAGGCACCATAAACAGGAAGCCGAAACAGAGGAATAGTTAAAAATACAAATCACGGACAACTGGAAAACAGCTAGCAAATAAGACATTGCAGCCTGAATTAGCAATGAGATAAATATTGAAAGGGCCAAGATAACTCGCCTTTGCTAATATTTCACAAACATACCCACAGTTGTGTTCTGTTTTATTCACACATGTGTAATAAAGGTTTAAAGTAGCTGTCAACTTGAAAACAACATGACATCACAATTTGGATTTTTTTTAGATAAATAAAGGTTTACTCAAACATGTGTAAATGTAATAAAACACAACTCCAGGTATGTTTTTGATGAGGTAACATTTTGTGTAATATGGGACCTTTACATTTTTTTCCACATACATTCTCCACACGCTGTGAGAACTGTGGTGGTGGTCTCGCGTTCTTGCGTTCAGAACAACAAATGGACAGGTCTATGTAAAATAATCAGGAAAAGACGTCAGCAGCTGCCACCTTTCATTCCTGTTTGTGTTGAGTCCGGGTCTAATTTACCATCAACAAAGTCCAGTTATTGTGGATTAGGACTTGGTTTTCTCTATTTGGAGGTATAGAGGGTGGTCTCCGTCGCAGATTAAGTTACACCAAAACAGGATGGAGCGGACTGGCACACACGCAGTCATGGATATATAAGGCGAGGTCTGATTTGAGTGTGAGGAAAGAAATGCCAAAGCTGCTGATGGTTGAATTTCCCTAATTTTGAGGGAAAGCAGGAGCCGGATTTGAAAATGTGCTTCTTTTCCCTGTGTCAGAGATTATCCCAGGATGTTTAATAGGGGAATTCCAGGAGCTGCGGTTCAGCCTAAAAAATACACTAAAAATTCAAAATGTCTATGGGATATGAGAGTGCACATTTAAAGCTACAGTATGTAATTTTCTTGCCAAAAAATAGACTGAAGGAAAAGATGTTATCATTATGGCTGTGTTTACTGCACTTTTAGTCTTTTTTTTTTAAAGCTTTCTAATGCTGTTCCCTCATCAAAAACACACATTAAGTGGTTTAGATCGATGAATGTTTCAGTCATTTAGCGATCTCTTCCAATTCAAACCCTCCTCACGGTTAGCTGTAAGATTCTGTAAACATGACAATTTTCTATAAATATATAAAAACATAATATATAACTGTGCACAATATGTACAACATAACAAATTAATGTGATGTGCAGTAGATTCATTAGAGGGATGCATGCTGATTGTGCTGTGATTGTGCTCTGAAGGGAGAGTAACTTAGTGCAGAGAGCAAAGAGAGGGAGACTCAAAACTTATAAACTTATAAAACATGTTAATATGTGTTTTTTGGCGAATATTACAAAACAATAAAAGGTATTTATTGACCAAAAATAGCTAAAATGTATTTAAAATAGTATATCTGCAATAAGCGTAGGTGACAAGTTGCTATTTAAAAACTAATTGAAGTCAGTAAAGTCTGAGTACACGGCTAATTATATGATCCAGGGTCCCAACCAACCATCTGTGCTTGGTTATCTTTCTCAAAACACACACCTCAGATTTTCTTTTTGGATGTCTACAGTCTAATCAAATATGTGCTTAGATATTTATTACAAAATGTACGATTTTCTGTCTCTTGAAAAGATGAAAAGAAAACACTTATTTTTTAATACACAGGAAGGAAACTGCTCTGTAAAGTCGTATCACCGGTGATATTGCAAAGCTGGAAATCTGATAATATGAAATGTAACCTTTCTTTCTCACTCTCTCCTCCTACCTTCCTTCTTTCATTCTCTCTCCACTCACTCTCTTTCTTAGACTTCATCTCACTTTCTCTGTCCTCTTCAGTGTGCATTCGAGGGAACTCCGCCAAAAGGCATTTAAAACAGATTTGCTGCTGTGGCTTTCTTTTGAACACCTGTCTTCATAGCGCCAATATCTAAAGGCAGAGAGACAGCGGGGTATTAGGAGCGGATGGCACTGAAAAGACATTATACAGCGAAAAAAAGAGAGAGACAGGAGGAGGAGGGATGGAGAGAATGAGGTCTAAACGACTCGGAGTGCACAGGTGAGGGGTACGGAGAGGGGGCTGGATATTAGGGAAGCCATTGAGGAACGCGGAGAGGGGGAAAGATGAAAAGGTGAATTATAAAACAAGGGAGTGAATGGGGTGAGGCCCGGGACACGCCAGCGGGGGCCTAAAGGACATTAATGACACAATTTAAACAAGACGTCAAGGAGGAGACAAGCGCTAGGGGCTAGGAAGCAGAGTTAGGAGGTAGGAAGCACAGTTAGGAGCCAGGAGTAGACAGAGGTAGGCGATACTGACAGTAAGGAAGAAAGTCTATATAAATATTTTTTTTGTTGAGTGACAATCAGAGGTGGGTAGAGTAGCCAAGCATTTTAATCAAGTAAGAGTAACGTTACTTCAAAATAATATTACTCTAGCAGAAGTACAAAGTAGTGATCCAAGGCATTTCTCAAGGACAAACATAAACATTATATAAAGTAAGTCATAATGTTCAAATAATTTCACATTGTCAACAAGGGAATAGTAACCACAACGTTTACTCAAGTAAGAGTATTGCTCCTTGAATAAAAAATATTACTCAAGCACAAGTATGCTGCTAGAAATATACTCTCTCTCTAAAAAGTACTTCATTTGTAATAGACTCTGAAAAGTACTTCATTTGTAATAGTTTTTATTACAGACAATACACTCGACATATTTCAAAATGATATTATGTTTTCATGTTTAGTTTTATTTATTTATTTTTTTATATATAGCTGACCCCTAGCTAGGAAGTAGAGTTAGGCACTAGGAGGTAGGGTGGAGGAGGCATCTCAATATGTTGAAGATGTACTATGTAACTTGTGGGGGGGTTCACTACTTCATTGTCATGGATGTTATTGCGTTGCCTAGATTGTTCCACAGTTTCGTCCCCTATTAAACTAATCTTTCTCCATAAACTCCAGCAAGTGACAGGAACCAAAACAACTTACAGGTCAGATCTATGGGTGGTCCAGCTCACAATAATACTGCATGGATTTCAAGGTATTTTAGCAATAATTAGGTGAGTTTAATGCCATACCGTGAAACATTAAGGAGATGATATTCTAATTTTGCGATGTATTGCCCACCACTAGCAAGTAGGAAGAGGTGCAGTCAGGAGTTAGAAGCTAGAAGGCAGAGTTAGGAGCTAGGAGGTAGAGTTAGGAGCTAGGGGGTAGAGTTAGGCGCTAGGAGAGAGGGAGGAGGCATCTGAGGCAGGAGAGCAAACAAAAAGAGCTTAATGGAGAACGAGGGTGGAATAAGGATAGATACAGAGAGAGGAGCAGAGAAGTGTAAAGGATACTTTAAAAGGGCTCTGTTTAGGCTGTAAACTGGACAGAAATCAGACCACATTTTGTAATTTCTTAACACATATTTGTAACCATGGGTTTCACGGTTTCAGAATGATGAAATATTAGGACTGTTGCCATAGTGAGAAGTTTTCAAAATGTCAGATATAACAACCTAAAACCCAAAATAACTGTTTTTGTACATCTAAGGTTCAGTCATGTTTATTGCCGATTTTGTATCTTTTGTGAATTTCCTTAGGCCATTTTAAAGATGCACTATGTAACTTTTGGAGGGTTTGTTACTTGCTTGTTTCCATGGAGGTGTTATGGCGTTGCTTAGATTGTTCCACAGTTTGGCATTAAACTAATCTACAGTATCTCCACAAAGACTAGGAAGTGAGACTACAAAACCGATTTACAGATCAGATCTATGGAGAGATGACAGTAAAAATGCAAGTTTTACAAACACCTGTAATTAAATAAATGCAAGATATACGAGTTTAATACTGTGGAACTTTCCAGGCAAACAAAAGCATCTCCATAGAGCAGACTCAGGGCCTGTTTACATGAGAACACTTACAGGTACAAATGACAAAATATTTGATCAGAATTGCCTTTCATGTTATTATGTTCTTTTTACAGACCAAGAGTTTGTTTTCATACCTGACAGTTTTGATTGCTCACTAGCGGTCTTCCTCAGAGTGGTCACGTGATGTTGCTGTGACGTGTCCGGTGAGCTGATTTATACACGTTTTGGTGCTGTACTCCCACCAGTGGAGGCAGGACGACAGCGCCATCTGCAGTCCGACTTCCTCAGGACAGCATCCCAGGTGTGTGAGAGTAAAAAAGCCCCCTCGTCCCGGTTTATCGTCCCGCGGGCACGTTTCCGTATTACAATTGCCTCTTTAATCCAGCGGCGATGTTTGTTTTCCTCTGTTCCAATGATGTTTGCTCGGACACGTCACAACAACATCACGTGACCACTCTGAGGAAGACCGCTAGTGAGCAGTCGAAACTGTCAGGTATGAAAACAAACTCTCGGTCTGTAAAAATAATTTAATAACAAAAAATATCGAAAGACCAAATTAATCTCATTGGACTAGAAGTGCCTTTCGTTTAGATGGTGATGGCGTTTTTGGGGCTAAAAATGCAAAAATCTGAAACCACCCTCCAGAGTGGAAAAGTTGAATATGCGCCGCCATAGCGTTTCAGTTTACACTGCCCAAGATGCAAAACTCT